AAATATTTTTAAATATCATCTGAATTTCTGCCTTTTTGGAGGGAGAGTACATATAAATTTTCTCTCGCATAAATATCCTCTCCAACTGTTTGACTGATGGCTAGGGCTCGGCTATCTCAAGCCGTTTAGGATTTGTTTAAGCCTATAGAGACCTGCAGCGTTGAACGTATGGAGGTTCCCCCTCTGCAAGACACATCAAAGTTACAGGCACAAATGTCATCGCAGGGTCACACCCTGAGAGGTGCTTAACTCTGCACAGCAACGGGTTGTTATGTTTTTTAAAAGGGAATTATACGATGCTATTACCTCTGATAGCAGAGTCTTGACCGTAGTGACATAGACAATCCCATACACCTCTGTGCGTCCATTTATTTTGGTGTCAGAATGTAAATGAGCCTCTCTCCAAATACAAATGAAAGCACAGCAATACTTCAGTGAGTGCCAAAGCAGACGGCAAATCAAGTCTTTGTTCCTGAGCCACACTGCCATTATGGGAAGCTTTACTGATGATTAAGAATGTCACTCATCAAAACACCTTCACACAGTTCTGATAAGTCTAAATAGTACTAGTTTACAGTCAATGTCACTGTTGCTGCAGAGGGCATGAAAGTGGTCTTTGAAAATCATTCCTCAATGTAGTCTGAGTGTGTTTTCTGAACACAGCCAAATAAATTTGTGATCAGCTGCCACAGGAATTATAATCTCGTATTGTCTGAAATGATTGCATATTTCAAACATATAGGTTGGCACTGTGTTCGTTTGTTTGCTTGTTCACTTACTACCGAGTTACCTCTACTCATTGAGGTTCCAGACCTCTCTGGTCTCATCTGTTTTGGAATTTCTTGACATGGCTGATTCTTTTTATTACGAGGTGGACAATCATATTTTGCTCTATTGCTGCACATATTGCCAGCAAATATCCTTCCCCTTCACGGGGACTCCTCTGTGTGCCAAAAGTGGGGTGCTGCCCAGAGCAGGAGAAGTACACACCAGCGATGGATATGAGGCTAGAAACTGCAGCCTCCTGTGCTCACTTCAGCCTGGTGTTATCCACTGTTCTTCAAATGCTTGGGTACCACCCCAATGAAGGTTTTCATTAATAACATAAAAACGACTAAAGCTCTTCTTTGTGATGAGCTCCAGCCTAGAGCTGACCTTGCAGAGCTGTCCCCCTCAGGTGTGCCCACCAGCCCTGCTCTCGGACAGTCTCTGTTGCTCCTTTCTGAGGCTGAGACAAGGTGTGATGGCAGAAAACGTCCCCTTCTCGTGGCGAGACACTCCACCACATGGCACAGCCACTGCTTCATAATTCTGTTAAAAAGGGAGCTAGGAAGGTGTAAAAATTTTGCCACTTCAGAGTAAGTGTTGAAATATTTTAATTCCTCCTCCACGCCATTAATTTTGGAAGGCTAAATATAGGGAAGAAAAAAAAGTGAGGGGAACTATAAATAAGAAATGAGTATGCAGGATAAATCTAAATCCAATCCGTGGTACTTGTCACACCTCCCCATCAAATACCAGCTGTGCCTCACCAGCAGAGTGTGGCTGCAGGGAGTGCTGGGTTGCTGCCTGGTCTGTTGGCTTCTTTTGTGGTTGTTGGGAATGATGGTTCAGCATCAAAATCAGGCTTTTGTAGAAGTTCAAGTCACCCTGGAAACAATGGGCATTTTTTTTCTAATAAGGTCACAAGCTAATAAAAATGTCTCATAATTGCACTCCTATTAAATTGTTAGCAGTCATCCCTGCATGTATGATATCCCAAATATGTCCCATGTGCTAGTACACATATTTGTGGTACAGCACTCACACCCCTTGGCTTTCCTACATAGGTGCTTTCCCAACTTAAGCATGTATGTAAATATGAATATTGTGTTCAATTTGCCACCCAAATCACTAATTTAGATGCACAGGAAGCTTCGACTCCTTCACAAGAGCTTTTTCTAATGGATATTTCATATTGCAGCAGTCATTTTTAATAACTGAAAAAGTTCTTAGGAAAGTTTGAGTGTTTTCCAAGCCTGGATTACTGCTTGAGCCTACAAGGTGTTGAATTCATGAGATTTGATTCAGCAAAGCATTTTTTTAGGACTACTCACATGCTTAAAAGTAGTTATTTGGCATCACTTTGCTGCATTGATTGGTGAGATGTCATTATCGGAGGTCTGAACCCATGGTAGGGGCAGAAGACAGGGTAACGAAAGAGATGGGCCACCCACCACTGAAAACCAGCCATAATCACCAAAACTGTATTAAAATAGCCTGCCTTCCTAGGTGATAGTGATAGTACCGTAATCTTAAAGACAGCATACGTTTCTGTGACAGAAGGTTGAACAGGTTAAATGAAGGAGCTGCTTAATGTCAGAAGACTTCTGAAGCTGTAAGAACTACTTATCCAATGTAGCATTTTTGCCCTCAGGGACAGGTTAACAAAGGTGTCCTTTTTTTTCTTAGAGGATTTTCATAGTTAGTTGAACAGAAATCTTCTTCTTTTTTTGAAAATGTTATCTGTTTTTAAAAAGCTTTATGATGTAAAAAGCTTGCTTTGGGCTCCTGCTAGACAAAGAGCCTTAGCACCAGCTCCCACAGTGAGGACAGCTGGGGATCTGGGTCGTTGTTCCTGGAATTAACTGATAGGAGCTGGAGGGAAGGTATGAAAATCATCTTGTCAGACCCTTGCCGGGTCATTCTCAGCTGCTTTCAGACTCATGGGCCCGCACAACTGGAGGTGTGAGTCAGGCTGGCCCAGATCACTGAAAATGTCAAAGCAATGGTGTGGCAAGGAGCTCCGGCTGCTTGTCTGGGAATAAGAGGCTACGACCAAGAGTTGTATTATCATGTACATGGAGCCAAGACCAGAAACCCTGTGAGGGTAAGTTCCTCTAATTGCACTACCCTACAGATCACAGTGGGCAAATGTTAAGTATTTTCATTTTTTTAAAAGAGTTTATTAAGTACATGAAAGCTTCCAGAAGGCACATTGGAAAATGTTCAGGACCAGCTATCAATGCCTTTTTAACTGAAATACAATAGATATATTTAGCAGAAAAAAAAGATAATTAAAAACACAGAAACAAAAGCCTAAGCATATTGTATAGATTTTGTTTTTCAGATAAAATACAAGGTACTGCAGAAGGATAAAATTCCTACTGAAGCCAATGGCCAAAGACCATTATTCTTTAGTGGAACAAAAAAACTTCAGAGAAAAGGTTTTGTACAAGAAGGTACGAGTCATCTAAATTTAAGAGTGTAGCATATTTATGAAAGTATTTTTACAAGCCATTCTTCATAGCGTGTACACAGGTGATAACTAAATATTGTCCTTTAGTGGCAAAGTCATGATAAAATATTATCTGATCACGTAAGGGTACCATGGAAGCAAAGGAAAAGGAGAACTAGCCTTTAGACTGGTGTTAGCTTCGGATCTGGGTGATCTGCATGAAAAGTCCTTGGGTTTTTTTCTAGTCCCTTGGAGCTAAATCCACAAAAGGCTGATGATTCAACTGCATGATGCCATGCTCAGCATCCACGGTGTCAGTGCTTGCTGTGAGAGCCCAGATCTTCCCCGCTCAAAGCTATCATCACTGGATGGAAGCCTCCTACATGTCCTCATCTCCAGCTCTGCATCACTGACCTGGGGAAATTTTATTTCATTCAAGAGGATGGCATGAGGCCACCAGGCATTGCCAGGCTAGCAACAGGGAGGTGCCTGACCCGTCCCAAACAAGGGGGAGGCAGTGGTGTTTGGGTTCCCTCCAGGATGGATGCAACTTAACCAGGTTAAAAAAGTATAGCACAAGGTGGCAGCTCTAAGACATTTAAAATCATTAATCCTGAGTCGCATGAAGCACAAAGGCTGCACTACAGGGAGGGCTGTGGTTTAGTGCCTGAGTATCCACGGTATTTCCTATTTTCGAGCAGGAGACACCTGTGCTCTGCAGGGCTTTCAGGCACCTAATTCAGGGCAACAGATCCCATTTCAGCTCCAGCATGCCTAAGCCTTATTTACTGATGCAGTGATGCCCATAGCTCCTCTGTGGTTCAGTTATTCATTTTTACAATTAATTAATAGTAATAACACCTACTGCCTCACCAGGGTGTTGTAAAGCAAAAGCATGCTAGAAACGGTAAGGCCCTCAGATATTGGATAATAAGGATTTCTAGTAAAAAATTTAAAGAATTTTCCCTGGTCAAATGCAGAACAATTTAAGCTCTTTAGGACTAAATTTCTGCCCTGCACAGACGAAGGAGCTGGAAGAAGAACTCCTGTGGCATGTCAGCCTTGTGCTGGCTCCCTGCATAATGTCACCTTTCTCAAGGCATTTTGCTAAATGCGGGATCCCTGAGGAAGTCCCTGGTCAAATCACGATGAGCCACCCCAAGTCAGTTCCTTCCTAGCAGGCGCTGCCACAAGGACAGGCTGCCTTGCTGCCGTGGCACGCACAGGCACGGGCTGCCCTCGTTCTGTTCCAGCAGCTCTCTCGTGTTGTATCCCAGCCGAGTGTAGGGTCTGTTTTACATTCCCACAAGACAAAGGTGCAAGGCACAGTGCCAGTGGAAGGCAGCACCAAATCCCTGGTGTAATTCTGTCAATGCGGTCAGGGAGTTTTTGACTACATGGTGAGAAGATCCAGCTGCCACAGTACTCAAAGCAAAGCCCGTTCGGTGCTCTGCATCGACCCTGATGGCCATTGGCCTTTTCACTGAGCAGAGCTGTAGTGCAGGGAATAAGTGGGGTGTCAGTTACACCCTCACTCAGACCCCTGGGACATGGGAAACATCTAAAGAAAAATGTTGCAGGACCTTTGGTATCCAAATGGATACCGTACCGTGTCCCAGTGCTTTATAACAAACTGAATCTGTTTCTGTTCCTGTCTTCTCCTACAAGAGAGGATGCACATGGCAGAGCATAGAGCAGAATTTAAAAACCTAGCGTGAGTTCACAGCTCCTGTTCACTTAAGCAACCCAGAAGTTATTTCTCCTTCAGCCCATGAGAACAGGTTTAAACTTCATTTGTGCCATTCACTTCCTTCTTTAGTTCTTGTTGTTCCTCTTTCAAAGGTTCCAGCTCAGGTCCACCCAGCGCAGTTTCTTTGTTCAAGTTATTTCTGCCTTCGTTTTCTATCCTTACAGATTTAGGATCCTCTCCTTTTGCCTTTCTTTTCTTCTCCTTGGCAAGCATACGATAATTATAATAATTCATGATGAACAGGAAGGTTCCTGCCAGGACCATCACAGCTCCACATTTAATGAACATATATTTATAGTCACCAAAGGTATCGATAAGAATTCCTGTAAAACATACATGTAAAAAAAAAAAAAAAATCAGAAAAAAATCCTTAGAGATGAATGCAAAAATGTGTTTTCAGAACCTAAATATGAGGGGACACCCTTGTGTCTTTAGGATAAAATAAGACATTCTCTGGATTTCTGCTCTCTTCCACAAATAACTGTGACCCTGCAAATGCCTCACATGTGTTCCACTATATAGCCTGTGGGCAGTTAACATTGATACAGGTAATACTACCAATAGTTGGTGCAGTTAACTAGAAGGGGATTCATCTCAGACTCTTGACAAAGACCCTCCAATTTTTTCCATCACGGGTCATTTGCCGGCATTAGAGGGGACTCAGCTTTTGGTCACAGCTGCCCTTCCTGCATTTATAGTCGTGATCTAAAGATGAAAGGGCACCGCGTGGAACTGGAAAACATTAGTTCCAGGGAAAGCAAAGATGATGCTGTCAATGTCAGATAACTTCAATGCCAAGACGAATGTGACAGGTTCCTCTCAAAGGTTAATGCCTCTGCTATGGAGTTACAGAGTAATTGAAGGGAGATGGCTTAATTGAAATGTCAGTGTTCTCTATTATGTCAAAATGTAATGCAAATCTTATTGGGATTATGATCCTGAGCATTAATTCTCATTTACTGCCGCAACACAGACCATTCTTAACATCCCAAATCCTAATTAAACTAAGACCCACTCCTAACCTGGCCTTCACAATACAGATAGTCCTCCTTGAAACTGGCCCATCATCCATTAGCTCTCTGATTTTTTGGAATAAGTTCTTCTCCTTAAAAAGAGGGACCTTAAATTACTTCCTGACTGATCCCTAATGTTGAAAAGCTGATGATTAATTATCCCACTGTATTACACTAACAAGGGATTTTTATGGCCACCAAATAGATTTCATGATCACAAAAATAATAATTTTTAACTGGTTTTGGTCAATGGTTCCTTCTGAATCATTCCTAAAGGTCTTAGTACACCATTTTCAATGCACTGTGTTTTTCATTTTACTGATGAACCATCAGCGAAATGCTAATTGCAACTATTTTTTCCTTTTCTGCTAATCAGGATGACCTAGAGGTCTCCTAAATAGGTTTCAATGAGAGTTTTAATGAGTAGAGTATTGGAAAATTCAACAGTAGGATAGTCTTGCCTCTTTTCCTTTGAGAATAAGATAAAGTCATAAAACACACTGGGAACAATTTACTTAGTTCATTAAAGCAGAACCCTGCAGTAGGTTATTAAAATGCCAAAGAACCAATAAATTTGCTGCTTATTAAAATGGTGAGGGAAAACCTACAAAACTAATATTACTGATTATTATATAGAACTATTTTAGCCTCATTAGCAGTCTCTGGTCATTAACTTAATCTTCCACACAGAAAATTATATAATTCAGAAAACAGTCATTTTAAAATTGTATTTTCTTTTGTTTGTCATTAATTAAATAATGAATCTCTAAGACAGCAAGAGGATACAGCTGCTTCTGTCACACTGTATGAGCTGTATGGTAATACAAAGAATTAAATGGCTCTGCAAGATGTGTCATACAGAGTATTAGCCAGATCTGAGTTTTGAATCCAGGAAATGGGTTTAAAATGCCTTATTTGTGTGCATTCTTTAAATTTATTACGATAGTGTCATATCAAAAGAATTAGCAGAGTTTAAATTTATACATCCAAATACAGACAGCAGACACAACCTAACTGACCATTTTAGCTTACTTAAAGGTGACCAGTTTCTAAACCAGTTATTCAGGCTTACATACAGGTGAAATGTATGTAAAACCATTTATATCATGGCCAACTCAGATTTGATAAGGACTGCACTTGAGCCAGATTCAAATACAGTGCCTGCCAGACACGGTGTGTTCCGTTAGAAACATAAGTGAGCACACGCTATAGAGGGAAAAAAGCGAAGGCTGTTGAAATCACAGGAGAATATTGCTCACCCTTACCTTCAGATGACTGCAAGCCCTGCTGAGGGTTCAATACTGTCAGCATGGGCTTTGAGGGTCTGCCTTTTGATGTTTCAAATCACAACATCCAAAACCAAACCTTTTTGTATTTTCGGAACAGCTTTAAACCTATCAGATGCACTAAGACGATGGAAATCCCTAAGAAGAAGTACTCAGAGCCTTAGAGACATACAGCAAGGCTGAGGTTTGAGTCAACCAGAAGACTTCCTACATGTTTTACTGTGCTTAAGTTGTCATGGACTCCAGTGTCCTGCAACAGAAGTCTCTAGAAGGAGTCACCTGAAGCGCAGGTTTCTTGGTGCTGCAGGAAGTCCCACTCTGCAAGATCAGTTCAGGTGAGGGGATCGAAGACTACAAGGTCACTGTCTCCAAACTGGAGGATTAAAGAAGAAATGCTGGAGGAGATACCTAGGATCTGCCTTCCCTGTCCAATTACTAGTGGAAAAATACTGAGTGGGAAGTAAAGAAAATGCATTTAGAATTACTTCTTACAAACTCTACTTGCAAGAGCCTAATCATAAGTGATGACCCAGTAGAAGCAGGGGACTATCCCACTCACCTCCAATAGGTGGTCCCAGCAGTATCGTGCAGCACTCCGCGATGGTGACCAGGCCGACTGCACTTGTGAACCTGGCAGCTCCCACGAGGTCCATGAGCGTTTCAAAGAGCATGGCACAAACCATGCCAAAGGCCAAGCCGAAGAAGACGGAGTAGACGACGAGCCCTGTGTAGCCAGATGCCAGCGGGCAGAGAAGGTGGCAGGTGCCGTTGAAAGCAATGGAGAAGCTGAAAAAGTACTGAATCCGCGGCCTCACCCACTTGCTGTTTGCAATGATGCCAGTGGCAGGTCGGGCAAACATATCCACGATGGCAAGGATCGAAAGGAGGAAAGCAGCTGAGTATTCGTCGATGCCGATGTGCTTTGCATAGGGTGCCAGAAAAACAATTGGGGCAAAAAAACCCAGGAACATGAGCACATTTCCAATCAGGTAAATCAAGAACCCTCTGTGCTTAAAGAGAGAAAAATCAAGGTACTGATTGATTTTTTCACAACAGTCCTTTTCTTCTTCATCTTCCATTTTGACCTCCTTGGGGATGTTTGTGGTACTACTCATTTCCACGGCAACTTCAGTGACTCCTTCTTTCAGAGCATCCTTCCCTTCCTCGATCACCTGGGCTTTGACTGGTGCTGTGGCTGCCCCAATGGGTCTGAAGAGAGCTCCTGCTACACAGCAGTTTAACAAAATTGCCCCAAGAATTAAAAAGCTGCCCCTCCAGCCAAAATTGTCAAACAGGAACTGGTTGAGAGGAGCCAGGGTGCAAAGCATCACAGGGCTCCCTGCCATAGCAAGGCCATTCGCAATGGGTCTTCTCTTCAAGAAGTATTTCCCTATCATTATCACGGATGGCTGGAGGTTGAGAGCAAGGCCAAGTCCTGGAATAGAGAAATATAATTGAGGTACTAAGGAAGATCCGAGACCCAGCTATCCTCAGCTCACTATTTAAGGCAAACTTACAGACAACTGGTCCATTAGTGGCTCTTCAACCTGATAATCTGCATGCAAGCTTTGTTCAAGATATCTGCTAAACTCCTGGCTGCTACGTTTGGGTAACCAGACCCCAGAAAGACACTTTCAGTCAGAGAACACCCATTTCTTTTGCACTAGAAAACTCTAGGGTTGCAAACCTAGCACAAAGAGTTTGCTTCAGAATAAAGTGAAAATATACCCTCGGTGAATGCTCTCTGGTTTTGTCCAGAGACAGCAGCCTTGTTGGAGGAGAGGATGGATCTATAAAAAAAAAGACAGCTCCCAGTATGAGGAAGATTTTTCTGGCTTGGACAGTTCTAAGCATCACGTGCATCTGGGGCTGGCACCCCTTTCCGTGGGCGATGGGCACCCAACGCTGCTGCCAGGCAGACAGACCTGCACAAATAACACCACCCTTCTCACCCATCACTAATTTGGTGGTGTGAGCAATTCTGGTCTGATGCAAAAGATGACGAGGTCTGCAAGTACACAGCAAAACAGCTACTGAGGATGTTAATTAAACAGGACCCTAGAGTCTTTCTTTTAATTAAAATTTATTTTTCTTCCATTTAGATATATAAATGGTAGTATAAATCTGCATTTCTTTTTCAGTTAGAAAGCTTCTCTTGCACAGGTGAAATCTGAAGGCAGAGATACCAGGTGCTGTGGTTGTCTCAACTTTCTGTGGTTCTGAGAGCACTAACATATAATAATCTTGTCTTTTCAGACACTTCTGTGAGGTTCAGTATTTCCTTAAAAAGTTAAATTTTCAGAACTCCATCAAAATGACATTTAAAAATCGTGCCACATATTTTCCACCCTATCATCCAGGAAAGAATGAGCCGCATTAGAACAAAGCAGAAATGTAATCCTTGAAGTGATTATATCAGAGAACATGAATCCTTAAAATAGGGTCATGCAGATTTTTTCTTGTTCATTAGTCTATATAATTAGTTTGTTTAACTGTGCAGTACATAATTAGGCATATTGCTTTACAGAAGAGAATTTAGAAAGGTCAAGGTCCTCAAAATTAATTAAGGAACACTGTCATTAGTTGCTGATAGAGTAGAATCCAACTGATGCAGCAGAATTCAACTGATGTTAGATAGCTTCATTTTGAACAGTTTTACAAAATAATGAATTTTGCTGGGTCTAAAATCCTTTTTTTTTTTTTTGTGATTACTTAGAAGTTTCCAGCATTAAAAATAAATTGAAATGGCAACATATTACAATTGATCTTGAAATGAAATCCTTTCTCAGCATGAACTTTCCCAGATAGACCATATATTTGGTGGGGCGCGTCATTGAGAAGCACAGCCTGCACGTAACTCTTGAGCAAGCAAATTCATCCCCGTGAGAGGGTAACTACAGAGCAAAGCACAGCATTCATTAGAGAAGACCCTTTATGGTGCTCAGGTATAGGAATGCATCTTCTTTCACCTGAGAAGATGCAACACAGTGGATTAGAGCTTGCTTTAACTCTGTATTTCTCAGACTGCTAGGTAAGGGCAGAAACTGAACTGTCGTTTTTGGTAGGGACCTACTGCACGTTGTGCAGAGAAGGAAAATCAGACTGGGTGCCAGCTACCCACTTAAACAATAATCAACTCAAATTTTTTATTATGTGAACATTAATTTGCCAGTCAGACAAATCTAATTTAATATTACCTCATGCTCTTCCCATTAATTAAATTTGGAGAGTTTCAAATTGGCTGACTGGAATTTCAATTACTTTAAGCTTTTGGCTGACTTTAGTAGGAAATATTTATATTAATTTTACTCCAGTTTTGAGAAACAACAGCAGTTTTTCCATGGCTGAAATTGTTACTCAAATAACCACATTTTTTTCCCCAAGATATGACAAAGAGGACTCTAGGTCCTATGAACAGAAGCAAGCCCATGCCAGGAACATCCTTCCCTAAATTAAATAGATCTCTCTTGGATTAGAAGGAAATAAGTGGTGCTACAAGAGTGACCCACGTAGCAATTGATTTTGTTGTTGCTTTATTAGCAAGGGAAGATCCTACCAGGTATTTCAATGCTGAACATTTAAAGCTGAGCCAAAAACTCTAGGTTCAGTAGTAAACAGGATTCACCATAGATCCCATTTTATTTCATGGCTAATTGGTACAGATTGAACTGAACTCTGACCAGTCATTATTGCCTTATATTTAGCTTTGAAATTTGCTGCTTCTAGCTCAGACTTGAAGAAGAGGGTGCATGCCTACACACCTATTGAGCGCACCCAGGCTGGTGTCTATCCAGGGCAACAAGCTTGCAAACCCATTTCTTTTCTGAAGTGCTACAAGTGAGGAAGAGAACAGGTTTTACAGCCCACATAAACACAGTTTTAACAGCAAAGTGACTTCTGCAGCCCCATGGCTCTGCACCATTAAGGACAGCTCCTTCAGAGCTGCCTTTGACAGCAGAGCCCGGTCCCTGCTTTGCATGCAAATGGAGAAAGACATAATCAAGAAAGCAAGTGAGATTGTCTAGTCCCTCCATCGTAAACAGGTATCTCCTGCTCCGCTTCTCTGAAGAGATTTCTATTAATATGCCAAAGGTGCAGGACTGTAGCAGACACCTCCTGGTACCAACTACCTTGTTTTTATCTCCATCCCTGTGAATTACATGAGCACTACAGTATTTTACATAGGTCTGCTTCCTTTTCAGGCTAGTAGGAAGGAGGCAAGCGAGCGCGTGATGTTTACAGGCTGCTTCACAGACATTGCAAATCGCCTTTACAGAAGACTCTCTCCTTGTACAGCGATGCTGTCTCAGCTGTGTGATGAGCAGGCAGCTTCATAATTGCCCTTGAATGCTTGCATGTTAGGCCTGACCAGTGAAAGCACTTCAAGCATAATTAGAGGCATCAAGCACGCTAGCAGGATTACAAGCATCTTCCCTTTCTCTGTCAAATTAATATTCCTTCCCCAGCACACACCCCGTGCCTGGGAATGATGGGTTATTAGCCCAGGCACCAGGCATACAGCTGCCCTCATTCAGCAAGCAAGAGAAAAAGATGCACACAACAAAAAGTGGGCTTTGCTTTGAGGAAAAATGGCAGCATTAAAGATGAGGAGAGGTGGGGGCAGTTTGTCCCTGTACCCTGTGACCGGCACGAGGGTTACACGTGCACACTGAGCCCAGCTCGTACTAACGGCTCTCTGGGGTGGGCAATGGACCAGATTTGCAAAGGTATTCAGGGACCAAAAAAGATCAAGGTCTTCCTAAATTGGGGCTAGGCTCAGAATTCTCTCCTGGCACATTTTTAGAAAATTACCTTTGAAAATAGGAGTTGGTGCCTTCCTACAGCACTGTCCCTTGCCTGAGCACTTCAGCTCACCAAAATGCATATACTTTTAGCAAAGAATTTATTGTTTCCATATGCTAACCCAATGTTAGTCGACTTGCTAGAGGACATTTGTTTAGCAGGGAGTGATGCAAGCTCATGCATCGATAAATATTGAAGTTATCCATGGGAGACACTGGTTATTTTTATTTATCAGAGGTTTGTTTCTGGGATCTCTTTCAAAGAATCTGCAAGAGTTATTTATTCAATAATAACAGTTTCATCTAACTACAGTGACTACTTAGAAAGTGTAAGCTTTAAGAGAGGGAATCCTACATGGGGATTTATTCACTACTGCACAGATTTAATAAAGCAATATTGGTGTAGGAGAACAGGGTGACAAACTTTCTGTCCCAATTTACCTTGCTAGTGGCTGATTTTATTGATTCTAAATGTTGAGCTCACACTCTTCATGTACAGAAAGCAGCAAGACTTAATGTGGCTGCAGAGAGATTGGGAGCATTCATTAAAACACACATCTTGCAACCTCAAAAGCCAATTTTGAACTCATTGTGTCGTGTTTTCAGGCAGGTGTCCCAGCTGCACTGGAAGAAACACTGACTGTTCCTTAGCTTACAGTTAAGCATCTATACTCACACAGGTGGAGAACTACAATTCATCTACTTTTAAAAGCAATAAGCCAGCAACTACAAGCTTTAAAGGTGCTGGACTGAGCCTATGCCTTCTCCTGTTTGAGTTTCCAATATGGTAATTTGTATTTCAATACAGATAATTCAAACTGTAACTTAATAAGGAAATACAGTTTTATTTTTTTCTCAGTAGGGGGAATATTTCATATTTTCAATCATCTCCAGTAGTTTTATTTTCATATAAAGGACCTCTTAACCTCACAAACAGGCAAAGGGCAAGTAAACTAAAGCACACTCCTGAAATCTCATTTCATATATCTCACAGACTGAAGATAACACAAGGTAATATAGGAACACAGGTGCTTTCTTCATAGTCACACTTCCATCTCGAAGGGCTTGCCTTGCCCAGGGCAGAGAGCAGTCAACCTGCGTTCGCTTCATCGGGAGCTGAGGGCACTGATGGGCAGCCTCACCATCGCCTCCGGCCCCAGGCACTCAGCTGCAAAGAGCACATCTCCTGCTAAGATCCTGCACGCGATGTTCAGCCAAGAACATAGCTCTTAGCGGGTGAGATGCTCTTTGCTAAAGTTCATCTGGGGCAGTTAATAAGGGAGGACCCACCAGCTTTTTGTCTCGTCAGCTTCCCACCGCGTTTGGCAGAAGGGCCCAAGTGCGGGCACCCCAAGCCACCAGAGGTGAACCTCAAGTGCGGGTGGAGAGGAGGTGCTTTCTTCTTACCTGTAATGAAGCCCACGCAGATGTAGAGCTGCAGGATGCTGTTGCAGAAGGCAGCTGAGACCATCCCAATGCCACACAGCAGGCCTCCGAACATAACCACGGGTCGGCTGCCATAGTGGTTCACTAAAATGCTGCTAATGGGACCTGGGGAAAGAGCACGAAATGGTCCTTGAGGCAGGTGTCTTGTGACAGAAGGGCACATTTGACACAGAGCAGGTAAACCTCTGCAGTATCGGTGCCCCTGCGGTGATGCTGACAGTTTCTAGGGTGACTTCGGGAAGAAAAAAGAAAAAGAGAGAAAGATGATCCACACTGCATGGAGATGGCAGCACGTCCCATGCCACACAGCAGCTGCGTAGCTGCTGACAGCTCCTGCCCCCAGGACTTTAAAGTGTCATCAGAGAAGGCAAACAAGCAATAACAAATCAGGTGAACATATGATCCCAACATAGGAGCTTCTTGAATTATTATGATGCTAAACCATATGCACAAAGTAGTAGTTCATATTACAAGGCTGATATCATGAATACTGTTGCATTTTTAATGCCTCTATTTAATGCAATTCCAATACCGCTGACCACGACTGAAGCTTCAGCAGAACAGTTGTTAATTAAATCTTAATAGCAGTCTATGTTGGTAGAAACATTCTGGGATGATGGATTAGCTGGTGCTCAAAAGAACCAGTTTGGTCTTGCATTTACATGAAGGAAAGGGCAAAATTATGAAAGAGAGAAATGGCTTAAAAAATACTGTGCCCACTGAAAGGAAGCATTGAAATCTGAGGAAGTGGAACATGCCAGCAGCTTTGGGCAGAGGAGGAAAGAAGGGAGCGGGTTTTTTGTGTAGTAGTCCTCAACCAGCTGGAGGACCAGTAAAAATCAGAATGGCAGAATAATACATATCAGAGGGACTTTGCAAGTGTCAGGACCAACCTCCAGCTCAAAGTAGAGCCAGATCTGCAGTTAGATCAGGCTGAGAAGTCAGAACAAGAGAAAGCCGACTGAGCAGGAGAGAGTGGTCCAGAAGTCAAGCTACAACATGTAAGAAAAACATTCCGTATTACTCAAAACCCTGAACCAAAGTGCTGCAAAAATGCTGCTGGAAATGACGCAGACAGACACAGACAGCATTTAGTATCTTATCTGACTACTTCTGGTGCTACTCGGCACACAGCGATGGTATTTCAGAACCCAGTGCTCTCACAAAGAGCCCGCACCATCCATATACAGATTACTGGAAACAGGCGTTTTAAGTTTATAGGCATCTCTAAAGAGTTTGGCCGTGGGAATCTACCTCACCACCATGCTGTGCAGTAGAATATTTACCTTTGCTTAAATAATCTCAGCCAGATACAGTGCCAGAGTTCTTTCCAGAACTTGCAAACCACGGAACACTTGAGCACAGGAGCCAGACCCAAAAATCCCAATATACCCTCGGCATGGCTGGTGGCATCCAAACAAGTTGCCAGCTGTTATGATGTGCAAGAACAAAAACCAGTACGCATGACTAGTTTAATCTAGGGAATGAAGCCCTTTTTGACATCTGTAACATGTAAAATACTTCCCATTACATGTCTAAGGTCAAAACACTCATGAAAATACACACAAGCATCCCTGTAACTCTGTGATCTGTGAGTCAGTCCCATTGAATGCACCATTCAATTAAATTTTCTGTGAGGGTATAATTACGTGGAGAGTTTTTTCTCCTAATGCTATAACTGGATTCATATGCATGCATTGTTTTGCTGCAGTGAGCTCTACAGAATTAAGTGAGAAATTCTGGGGAGAAACGTATGTTATATCAGCTCAGTAGGGAAGGTACCCCTTTCTCACTGAGTTTCCCCTGGTCAGAGCTTGGAATTTCATCATGCTTAAACTGGTCTCAGCGTGTTCTGTAATTCAATAAATCGAGCCAGTGTTCCTCAGAAAGGTACCAACATATTTATCTGTAGCCTAAGGGCAAGCCACTCTTCCATTTTTCAATTTTCCACAAGTCTGTGTTTCTCCAGAATCAATCTAATTACTCAACTAAGAAAATGTGGTCTCAATTACCTTCTCCCACTGGAAGAAAGCTTTCACATTGGTGTAAAACTACAGAATGTCATACCATGGAGCATTTAAAGTCCACAAGATTCCTGCTAAGACCCCTGTCCCGCTTGGTCTCAGGGCAGCTCCCAGGGAAAGAAGCCCCTGCTACGAGAAGTAAAACAAAATGTTCCTGTATGTCCCACTCCTGCAGCATCCACCTTGGGAGAAGGGAAATACAGATCCACACCTCTCTCACTCCAGTTCATAAGCTGTTGTATTGGCTTCACCCATCGGTAAGGACAGGTTTCAATCATGCCAGCAGATGATGAACTGCAAGGGGCTAAGGGTGGGACACATTCTGCTCTGCTGCCTGACTATGGGGACAACCCAGGGTAGAGGCTGAAGTAGATGAAAGCAAAAATTTGTATCCCAACCACTGGCTTTACCAATGAGAGCACCTTTCCTGTGCCCCAGGGCACCTCCATGAATGGGCAGCGTCCTCAGTCGCATCTCAACTTCCCACCAATCACTTACTAAGCCATGAGACCACAACTGCGCCCTGTTCTTGTCTTGTGTGGTATCCCAGCAATGCTTTACAGCAAGTCTGTATGATCCTCAGCAAAGAGCCTTCATCTGCCCCAACCAGAGTTATCAGTTTTACAGGGAGATAATCAGCCCCACTTGTTCACCAATCTGGGTGGCAAAGCTATGGTCTCAAAGGCATTATCTGCCTGAGCTGGGCTGAGCTCACAGGGAACTGTGACAAACTTCAGAAGCAACATAAGCCTTTCTTCTTTACAGCCTGAAACCATAAGTCCAGGTTCTGTGAGTCTGCTTTGCTAAAGAAGCACGGCGTACGGCATCACAGCACTTTTGACCTCCTTAACCAACCTCACCCATGTAGGACTGAGGGCTGGAGACCTCTGAGGTACTAAGTGCAGCTGATTAGAGGAGAAAACAGGAGCAGAGCATCTGGATTAACCTTCTCCAGCCACTGGAGAATCCACAGCAAAGGCCATGATGAGCACTCAACCTGTAGGAAAGGCATCAGCTCGACCTACACTTTATGAGACACCAGAGAATCCAACCCAAGGCCTCAAACAGTTGGGAAACCAAACTTCCCTGAGCCACTGCTTACAGACCAAAAGTTTTGTTATAGTCCTGAGCAGACCTTTCAAATGCACTGAAGCAAATGCAAAATCACATCCCCAAAATTACTTCCACTTAACTCATTTGGACCTGCAGAAACGTCCATAGGCTTTAACGGAGCAGCCTCTCAAAACCTCTCCCGGCAGAAACGGGCGCACGCAATATGTCACATAGCTGTGCACCCTTCAGCACACACACCCGGCCAGTTTGGGCAGGCGCGCAAAGCTCGGGCACGTACACCTTCACCCTGCCCAGATGTCTTCAGCGATCAGCATCACACCCAAGAGATCTAAACGCACCTCTCCTGCCCTGCTCTGCCACCCGCAGTGTATGTCTCATAGCTGGCTGATTAGCAACCAGGATAACTTAACCAGCCGTGTCGTGGGAAGCTTCAGAAAACATCAAACAGCCCGAGTCAGGACTGAGGAATTAAGAAGAGGGATGAACTAAGCCAGCAACACAGTTGTGGGAAATAGGAAACACAATTACTGCTTTGCTTGGAGCTATCACAAAAATTAAAAGCGTGACAGTCCCTGAAATCATGGTGGAATTGAAAAGATGGACCTGTCATTTACCAGCTATTCAGCTGGCATGAAAAGAATAAAAATGCTGTACATTGCCACAGAGAAACCATTTATGGTACCAACGTATGCAGCTTAGATCCCAAGGCATCTTTACTTGCTAATACCTGCCTGGTCAAATGTGCAGGAACCGCAGGCTCCCAGTCCTGGCTTCCAAGCTAAATCGTTCTTCCTTCCTGAGAGCCAACAGCAGGAGAAACTAGCAGGAGTCAGGGTGATTTTTGCCTCTTAATTTACAGCCAGGTGAGGACAGGGCAAGGGAGACACCTGGCAAAGCTCTCAGAAAGCCACCATATACCTGGCTTGACGTTGCAGAAGCAGCCACGTGAATGTTTCCTGAAAAGTCACGTCAAGGAGCAAAAGCCACCTCAGCAGCTGAGCATGTCCCCAGTGCATGGCTTCCGAGGGACTGGAGCAGCTAGGCTGGTGTCACCCAGCCTGCACTCTCCCCACACCCCCCTCCCACCACAGCAACATTACAACTTCTAATGAGGAAATTAGAAGTAAAATTGCACCCCAGTACGGCACAAGGACAAGCTGCCAAGACGAGGGCTGGTAGCAGCCGTCATCCCCTGGGTAAGAGCAAGGACAGCCTGCTCAGAAACACCTCGCATTACACCCCGAGCCCTCGCAGAGCAGGGTGCACACAAAGGGGGTTCTGCCTGCAGCGAAACTCTGCAGCCTGGAGAGCAACAGTTCACACCAAATACCCCTGAAAGATGAAGCTGGGATCATGGCACTCCTGGAAGACTGATGTGATGCCAAGCGCTGTCTACAGCCCGTATAAATCATGCTGGTTTAGCGCCTGCCCTGTATAAAGCTCCTCTTTTCTCATACCTGTGGCAGATTTCCATTCGTTGTTAGCTGGTACATGAAAGGCCGTGTCAAAGAAGCTGCTCTTAGTGGCAAGCAAAACACAGCCACTCGCCGGTGGGAAACACAGCAAGCCCTAACTCATTTGTTAGCTTGTCCAATTACTTTTCACCTTGAGTTTTGTGTTTGCAGGAGTGAAAAGGACCCTGAAGAGGAGATTTGAAAAAACGCAAACAAAATGCAAAATACCCTGGACTCTCCTCTCTTCTCCTCCACAAAGCCAGGCCATCTTGTCATTTATTCTTTCTGAGCCTCTGAATTGTGATCCAGAGAGACTCATAACACAGAGCTGACATTTAACAAAAAATATCAATCCAGACTGGCTTAAACTCTTGCAAGTACAACAATGCTCAAAAAATTGGCATCCGGATTGCCTTTCTGTTTTCTTCAACAAGACTTATGTATTTTTTATGAGCTGCAAAACTTCCAGTGTTGGTGCAAAACACCAATGTATTTTTAACAAGGACTAAAACATTCTTGTCTCCTATACTTCTGACCATACATATATATATAT